CCCAGAAAATTCGGCGGTCCGTACTATGCTACTCCTGCTACTATCGCCCTGCCCTCCGGCCGGGCATGCCATCCCGCTCCTCCTGCTTACCGTACCACGGCTATCGGGTCTGCATAAGGAGGCAGTCCCAGGTAGCCGTGGTGTCCTTGGCAATCCTTGCCAAGACTGCGGGGAAGAACGCCGGGGGGTATCCCCGGCGTCGTAGTTCCCTCTTGGTGGCAAGCAGGGGTAGTAGTTCTGTACACGTGGCATTACCCATTTGCTTGATCCGGTGCACTGCGCCGCTGATTGCCCCGCATTTCGCTTTCTTGTCTGAGTATGAGAGGAAGTCCTGGAATGACCTGAACAACAGCCCTTCCCTCAGCATGCAGTCCTGGTTCTTCGTCTTGGGTTCGATGAGGAACCTGACAGGGTTGGGAATCGCGGTAACCCTTGCTCCAATAAAATCAATTGTGTTGTCTCCTGTATCTGTGCGCACAAGCTGCAATCTGTCGCCATAGCAGCTCTCAAACCTGGCAAAAATCTCCTCCGCCCTCTCGAAGGAGGCCTCCACTTCCCTATTCACAAGCACCGCAACCGCTACATCATCCATGAATCTCGAGCCATGCACCAGCCTCCTATCGCTTCCCAAAGCTGCGACGAATGCATCTTCGTATCTTGCGCAAAGTATGCAGGCGAGCGCTGGACTGGTGTTCTTTCCCATTGGGATGCCTACCACCTGTCTGAGTGTCTCCCCTCTACAGGAGGTATAGGTATGCCCGAGCTCATACCGAATGTATCTCCTGATAAGGTGGAAGGTGATCTGCACGTAGCCTGCACCTAGACTCTTCTTGTTCAGAACCATTGCCTTGCCCCTTCTGCATACGCTCACTCTTGTTCTGCCCCGTTTCTCCCATTCCTTCAGCAGCCAGTCCACTGCCTCCAAGATGGCATCATGCGGGAGTGATGTAGACATTTCTTTGATGTCGTAGCTTCTGAGCAGCGCAATATCGCCATCCTTGGCACTGAACTTCTTCTCCGCCAATGCTACCCTGTCCTTCAGGCCAGTTGTGACTCCTAGGTTAAAATGCTTCGGCTCGGGGAGTCTGACAAGTAGCGTATTAAGTGCCCTGGCCATCCGCCTGCTTCCTGTCTTGGTAGGCTCGCTACTTGCTGGTGCGATAGGGCGCCACCTCCCTAGATCCTTGTGTTTAGGGAGGACGTACGCTCTTCCGATCTTCCCTTTCCCGTTCCACGTTGCAATTTTATCCACGCCAGCGTCCTTGTATTCCCTCCTGGCTTCCTTGGTAGCCTCCACTTCGTGCTTCGACACTGGAGTGTATGCTGCATTGTACGTGAACATCTTCTTCAGCCCCCAATGGTACGTTGAAGGGCACATGATCGCCAAGTCACCCTGGTTCCGGTCCACTGGAGMAATARCCAGYCCGCTTAACCGYCKGCTCAGTCGCTTCACCTCTTCTTCTTCTATCGCATCAGCGCCTTMTTCCTTCCTCACCTTCAGGCAATCTAGCACTTGCAGTGATTGTTGCGTCGTCACCATCTTGCTACCCARTACGTCTTTCAACGATAGGTAGAGTACTGATTGGAGTTGTTGCTCYCGGATTCTCCATGTCGGTYTTGCAATGTTCTTGCCGTTYATCATCTCCGTCCGTACRTTCTGCAGCTCGGAGATTCTGGTAAGTACATGTCCTTCGSAGCGAGGCAGATCAAACTCGCTACACGTGCAGCTGTCCTCCTTTCCTCTTGCTGCCTTATGGTGATTACACAATAGCGTAGTGATCSTRCTATTCTTCTGCCAGACTACCTTGATCTTCCTYTTCAGAACTCCTTTGATTGACTGRTGGAGGTCTGTSTTTTCCACTTCCTCCTCCRCCAAAATCCGAACATCTCTCTTCTTGATTGTATTGTCATATCGCAKCCGGATGAGTATCTTCTTCCGGATGTTGATGYCAACTTTTGCTGACACTACTCTGGCCACTACATCCTTCACCTTCTTCCTGGTAGGCTTAGCATGGAATGCGCCTGCACTGGAGTAGAGATACATGAGCTTGTCCACTTCGTATTCCCACAACTCTTTCCTCTTCCACGRCAGYTRTAGTAATAGCTTCAGGTAGCCCTTCCCTCGCTCACGTGCATTCTTGGATTTTGAGATCTGTGCAATCCATGCCTTCCCACCCTCTTCCAGATAGCTCTTTGCTTGTGCAAGCGNGCCCTTCCCTCGCTCACGTGCATTCTTGGATTTTGAGATCTGTGCAATCCATGCCTTCCCACCCTCTTCCAGATAGCTCTTTGCTTGTGCAAGCGAAAGCTTCTTACCACCGATGTTAAATGCAGAGGTACCGAATAGTCTTCTCGTCACGGCCCAGTCTTCGCCCCAGATGTCTCCGCCATGGCTGGCAATACTAATCTCCTTTCTTCCTGCTGCTAGTGCGTCCTCTAGTATCCTTCGAAGACTGGTTGTTCTCTCCATGCTTGCCTGGGTTGAGAATGTGATCAACCCTTTCTTCCCCTCCGCCTCAATCTTTGGTCGTCCTTCCTTCCTTGCCTCCACTAACCTCTCCCGCCTACCCTTCCTATTACTCTTCCTCTTGGACTGTTTACCTTTGCAGTTCAGTGCTGGTGAGAAGTGCTTTATCATCTTACTCTCCAGCGCCCTGAGGTCCTCTGTTCTCATTGTCGCGATAGGAACAATCATGTACTTGTTCCAGCCAAACCTGCCCATCCATTTATACAGTAACGGAGCTCTTCCCTTATCTCCAGCCACGGTGCACCGAACATGCTCCCACCATCGCTCAGCGGCGCCTCACACCGTTTGTCCTATATACAGTGTCTTACACCATGGTGATATTAAGCAATACACCACTGGTTGTTTAAAGTCGAAGAAGTCATGACCTTCAGGTATCACGCTGATAACCTTCCTGGCCCATGGAATTTTATTATTCCATGCAAGTAACAAGCAGCATGCAGTAAGGGCTTTCTCTATAGAAAGCCTAAGTTTCGACAAGCCAGTACGCCCCCAGATGCTGTCTCGTAGCTTGCCCATCTTGGCCATGATCTCCCACGTAACCCTGTCTGGTGGCAGGTCCCGTCATTGCAAATCCTCTTCGTCTAAGCCGTCGGGCCGACGATCGCGTGGCGCCTCTTCCTCAGCTCCGAAGCATCCTTCCTACGCAAGCCGCGTGCGGATTCTGACCAGCTCCTTGATTGCTTGCTCCTTATTAATGTACTCAATGCCCTCCGCTTCGCACAACTTTTTAAGCTCCTGAGCTGTCCTCTCTGACATTTTCTTTTGGATGTTCAGCACATATTCAACCATGCCTTCTCACCCGCATGCCGTAGGTACTTTCTTCTGGCTGCTTTCTTTCCCTATTCTCTTGTCGCCTTCTTCTGAAATAGTGTCGTCATCATCCGGATCGCTTGGTGAGTGCAGCCTTCTGGCTACCCGTTTCCCTCTATTCAGTCTTGTGAAAGTCCACCTTCTGCGTTCTTCGGCATCCCTCGATGTTTCCGCTTCTCCAGCTAGGTACTCCCGAAAACAGTCTTCGTCTTCGACACGACTTTTCCCTTTGCCTTTCTCTTTAGGCGTCTTGTTCCGGGCTCCCAAAGCAAGCTTGATCTCGTTCCTGATTTCGGTACGAAAGCTCTGCAGCTCTCGCGCAACGACAGCAATGGTACGGAGCTCCGACTCTTCAGTCAACCTATGAAGCTCTGCTTCGCGCCGCTCCTGCTCCAGTCTTTTGCGTCTAAGCTCACTTTCCATCTTCAGCCGTTCCTCTTCTTGTCTCTTCTTCTCAGCTTCCTCTTGTTGCGCCCTGACTTGCATATCCACCCACTCCTTAACTCTACGTAAGTCATCCTCCATGTCTCTCCGATTCTGCCAGGTGCTTGCGTTGTTTGTGAAGTTGCTAGGCGTATGCTGCCCTTGCTGCCCTTGCTATGCTTGCTGTCCATGTTGCGGCTGATCGCAGTCCCGTGCAAAGTGCCCATGTCTACCACAGTTGAAGCACGCTTCGTATGACGGGTTGCCTCCGTCACCACGGTTCGGAGTAGCCATGCAGACCAAATCGACTAACGTGTCCTATCCTCTCTCTAGCCTGACTCCGTTCGTACAAGCACTTGGCGRCTAAYTGCTRGTCTTCTGYTGTTGTCCACAGTCGTTGACGTAGCCACCAGAATGAGTACCTCTCCTCAAATGGTTACCRCGCAGCTATAAAGAAGTAGAAGAAGCAATGGCCGATAAATGCTCAYGAACACGAAGTAYGATATTACAAAAATCAAYGTGTTCCTCAAAACTCAGCACGCGCACATTCCCCGACGCCGCGTTTCGACCGCCTGCGCTGTGGTCATCCTCAGGAGGCTTTCCACTGCCCTGCCTTGCGGCCACCACCTCACGGACCTTCCAACTGAGTATAGAGGGCCGTCACGGCCTTGCCCTCTATATATGTAGTAGACAGGGTGCCTAGTCACAGTAGCCTAGGTGGCGGGTCTGGTCTGACACTTACCGCCCGCGTGTACAACCGCTCGTCCGACTCATCTGTAATCCTATTGGTGTACACGCCTCAGCCCGGATTCGAGTCTGAACCTCCCGCCTCGCAGGTCTGCTTTGCGCTCGCCTGCCTACCGCATTCTTACCGGCACGTGCCTTCCACGTGCCCGACCTTTGCCACAACTGACTCCCCCGTTTTGAATCCGAATCGAAATAATCGAAATAATCTTCTGGCTCAGGTGTTTCAGCGCCTACTCCTCCCGTCTATCTGTCTGCCCTTACCTCCGCGTACTTTCACGGGGTTTCCCACTACCCGTGCTGCGACGTAATTTCCATGGCCTATCCGTGGCTACTCTGCGTGCGTATTTGAGTTATTAAGCCCGCTGTGCTCGTGTCCAGGTCTGCACCAGCAAAATCCCGTGCACGTAGGGGCGGGAAAAAACTAACTACAAGCAAAATTTCAAATTTGCGATCCGGTATAATTCACACAATAAAATAAATTAAGCTCGCTGTGCCCGTGTCCAGGTCAGTACTAGCAAAATCCCGAGCACTTAGGGCGGGAGAAAACTAACTACAAGTAGCGCCGTCGCTGCAAGAAATTTCAAAATTTGTGTTCCGATATAATTCATATTACCCAAATATGTGCATCTATTCCTACCTATTTCCACTATCTCGGCTAAAGCAGCTACCGCCGGAAGCCTGCCACTTGACTAGTATACACGGGGCTGTCCCCAGAAAATTCGGCGGTCCGTACTATGCTACTCCTGCTACTATCGCCCTGCCCTCCGGCCGGGCATGCCATCCCGCTCCTCCTGCTTACCGTACAGATGATCGTATTTCAGCGTATCCATTCTACAGTCCGTAAAAATTGGGGGGGTTGTTCCTAGGTCCACTAAGTAAGCCATGCTCCTGCACTTCTCGATTTCGTAACTATCATTTGCCTGTTGGCTCATAATACAGTATGCATATGAAACCGCCATGACGAAGATGATCCAAGAGGCTGCCGCACCTCACTCACTCGCCAGATGCACACATGTATTGCGTCCTGTCCATCCTTCCTTCAGTTTCCATCTCTGCTAAGCCAACTGTTCTCCTGTGTTTTTCAAGAAGAGGGCGCATTTCTCAGCCTAGGATCCATTCCACTCAACCGCCTTATTGTCACGTATTCTATCCTTTGCTGTCTTCTTCTGGAATGCCGTGGGAATTCCGCAACGGTTGAACAACGTGTCTCCATTCCATCTTTGACAGCACAAGAGAGAGAGAGAGAGAGAGAGAGAGAGAGAGAGAGAGAGAGAGAGAGAGAGAGCTCTGTGTGTGTGTGTGTGTGTGTGTGTGTGTGTGTCTACCTCTATCTCTCGGTATCTCACACACGTACACACACAGAGTACCATCTTCTTCCTCGAAGCCCAGCCATAGCTGGGGGTTGGGAAACGAAGTTGAAGATGGCACTGCTGCTATTTCGCAGCTGTGCACAAGAGCTTCCACAGGACTGTGTTGTTGGGTTTGGGCGCTGCCATTCGCCACTTGGTAGCCATATCTGCTGTTCCTCCTCATGAGGAACTTCATGTTCTTCGAAGTGGTGGACCGGTTGTCTCCTTCTTCATCAGGACTTCCAGCGCTGCACTTCCGTGCGGGCGCTGAGCTGGTGCTGCTATCACTGGGGTTGCTGGTTCAGATTGGCACGTTGTGACAGCTGTGGGGTTACTGCTGCTACGGCAGCCATAGCCAGGGGTGTGAGGTGGCGAGGAGGAGGAGAAGACTCCTGCATGCTTCATTGAACACTTGTTTTTGGTTTTTCGGGGTTGTTGTAAACGGGGTTGTGATTCTTGGAACAAGTACTCTGGATTGATTGGAGGAGGACGGGGGATTATAGAATTGAAATTCGTTTTTCAATTCTGTGCAGGGTCACCAGCCCGTACATACGGAGGTCCCCCAGCCGACCTCCGGACGTACGGGCGTTCGGGGTCCCGTACAGCGTTCGGCCCCCACCAAAACTTATTTCGGGACCTAAAAATAAGTTTTTTTTTTTCTGAATTTTTCTTTTGTGAGCTCCCTATGATGTGAGGTACATGCCTATAAATTTTGAAGTCATTTCGCTAATCCAAACAAAAGTTAAAAACCGCCAAAGATGGCAGTGTCAAAACGTGCTCGCCCACTCACTATTTCGGTTTTTTTCACTTCTTACTGATTGTTTTCACTTTATTGCGGGGCCTACACAAATTTATTATTTTTTGAAACTTTTTTAATGGGTTTTGTATTATGTGAAGTACACATCTGTAAATTTTCAGGGCATTTGGATGTGCCAAAAAAAAATGAAAAATCGCCAAAGATGGCAGTGTCGAAAACGTGCTCGCTCACTCACTAATTTTAATTCTCTTTTCATTTTTCTTATTTTTATTATTAGTTTTATTTTGTGTATTTTATTTGGGAAAATTTGCGAAACGCCCCTGAAATTTCCGTTAATTGGCGATTTGCCCTCGGACGGCCGATTTTTTCTGAATTGCCCCTCTAACAACGACTCAAGTTTCCAGAAAACCCCCGGCGTCACTTGGGCCTCGAATATGTTCAATATGCCCCTACCGGTACCGCTGCCAACTTTTCAATATGCCCCTACCTGTTGGCCGTTGAGGAGCTGCACTCCAATTTGCTATATGCCCCTACCGGTACCATGCATCTTTCCAGTATGCCCCCAGGGCCCTTGTTGGCAGTCACGGCCGGATGTGAATATTTCCACGTTTCAGTGGAAGATTCATTTCGTTATATGCCCCTAGTGGCAGTGTATATTTCCACCTTTCATTTCCACGTTTCAGCGGAAGATTCATTTCGTTATATGCGCCCCCTAGTGGCAGTGTATATTTCCACGTTTCAGCGGAAGATTCATTTCGTTTTTGCTCATCCTATGGATGGAATGTGT